CAAAGGCATGACGATGTGGGAGAAAAAGGTACAACACATTCTAGTCAAACCAGTTGAAAATTTATTTCATGATATCGAAAGACTAGACATTATTTTGAAAACAACTCTATATATGATGTAAACATATTATACATATTATAAGGCCACACAAAACAAATTAGGCCAAGATAAATAAACATGATAATAACAATATCATAACAACATGTATACTGAAACATAACTCATCATTCCTTTCAATCAAGCCAAGTTATAATATGTATAATATGTTTACAGCATATTTATAGTCGTTTTCAAAATAACTGTTCGGTGTGAGCCAAGGCCCCGTGTTGAAGACCGTACTGTGACCTATAATGGTTTACTTTTATACATTTTGACATGGATGGAGAGTTGTCTCATTGGCACTAATACCGCATCTTCTTATATCTATTTAAATATAATTATAACATTTTATAAAACAAGAAAAATAACATTCATATACATATTACGTAAATATGTATTTTAGTCTCGCGCGTTAAATATAATACAATTTCAATCTACATGTTTACTAGTTTAATAGCAGCAACAACGTATAAATCAAATATATGTCTGATAATTGAATTCACATTAAGAAATACATTGTAGTGTTATAGACATATTGTGTACAATTTGAATAATAACTTGAAGTACTAGAAAAGTCTACAATTTTGATTTGTTTCGAATCAATTGCTTAAAGACTATTCCGACAGTTTATAGTGCTTTTCAATACGTTAAGTTCTATAATAACGTTATTTGTAGGATAAATAGAAAAGTGAAATCAATTTGAATGAGTAACAGACACTAGGTTATACATTGTAGTTATATTACACTTGATTGGTAAGAAGTGTAGCTAATTATTTTGAATTTGATATAATACTCAGTCTCGAGAGAGCATTTAATAATTATCTGACATAAGAAAATATCAAAGTACGATTGATTCGTGTGATGCAACACGTACGACATAATCATTTTGTGGTTAATACAGATTTTAGGAAAACAAATTGTAAAGTTTCTATTTTGATGTATCAGAATCATATATATTTTAAACATAAAACGTGCATGCAAATAAAACAAGGAAACATTATATTCAGATTGTTTAATATTGTTCTTTCATCGGAAGGAAGTGTTTTCCATCATTTCTGTGTTTCGCTAATGTTTATTACTGGCTGTCACTGTTGTGTTATGAATTTCACCCATCTGAAGAAATAAATACAATGGTTGTTTTTGTTTAACTTAAAATTATCATCATACATGTTTACAAGTGATGTTATAAATTTGTGCTATCTGCTTCCTGGATGCAATTTGTTTATCCTTCTTAAAACGCATTGCAAATTAACACTTAGTTCGTCAACGATATACGTGAAGGTTTGCTTAAATGTTCGCAGTTTTGTTGTCCACAACATAACTTCCATATTTTTAAGTTTAAGATAACAGACTAGTCTATCGCTGTGTTGAAGACCCATTGGTGGCCTTGGGCTGTTTTCTGCCCTTTGGTCGGGTTGTTGTCTTTTATGATCTTTGACAAATTCCCCATTTCCATTCTCAATTTTATAATATACTGAACAACTCATTAATGACTGTTATTGGTTCATTTGTTTGATCTTGTATTTGGGCACGATTTGAAACAATAAATAGTGTAGACTGATGTTGTTTAGGTTCATTTTTAAGGAACAACAGTCATACAAGTCGTGTTAACATTTCAAAAAGAACTGCATCTCCCCTTTGTAACAGTGTACTATTGATCCCTTATTAACAAACAGTACATGCTAGCTCTGTATTTTGATAAATATATATAGTCACTTTATTTGTTGAAAATATTTGTATATGATGAGTATGTATCCGGTCTATAAGAGTACCAATCTTTTCAAATGGAACCGATTTATGTCAGAGACGACCATACCACTTAACTAAATAAATAGTTTCCTTCATAAGAAGCAACTTGCAAACACAAATTACGTTATCTCTTCACAAAAACAAGTTTAAAAGATACTACCGCAGAAAAATGCCTTTGTGTGCATATCCTTATCGATCAGTTAGTAATTAGATGTATTGTACTTTTTCATGTAAATTTTAAGTATGAAACAAATTAATTGAAAATAAGCATGTTATACTACGTGTATAGGTATCAGTGATACAATTTTGTATAATCATTATATGTACTTCGTTTGATGACTAATGCATATAATGTGAATCCGCGCCATCGAAGAAAAATATAAATCGTAAGCTTTATCAACAATACTTACTCTCCCCAGGTACAGCTACAATGAGAACATGTTATATCATCGTCGGACTTTTGTCAAAATTTATTTACCTATCGGACCTAACAGTGTAAATTCTATAGTTTGAAATGGTTCGCACATTGTCGTTTTGGGATTTGTTTAGCTTACTTAATATACTGTTTTTGTTTTTATCACTATTGGAACAGCCCGTAATGTGACTTATTGTAACTACCATCAACATAATTTACTCTATATTGTCCGTAATGTGACTTATTGTAACTACCATCAACATAATTTACTCTATATTGTCCGTAATGTGACTTATTGTAACTACCATCAACATAATTTACTCTATATTGTCCGTAATGTGACTTATTGTAACTACCATCAACATAATTTACTCTATATTGCCCGTAATGTGACTTATTGTAACTACCATCAACATAATTTACTCTATATTGTCCGTAATGTGACTTATTGTAACTACCATCAACATAATTTACTCTATATTGCCCGTAATGTGACTTATTGTAACTACCATCAACATAATTTACTCTATATTGTCCGTAATGTGACTTATTGTAACTACCATCAACATAATTTACTCTATATTGTCCGTAATGTGACTTATTGTAACTACCATCAACATAATTTACTCTATATTGCCCGTAATGTGACTTATTGTAACTACCATCAACATAATTTACTCTATGTTGGGTAGCTGTCTCATTGACAATTCTACCACATGTTGTAATGTTTATCCTATTGGCTAATAAATTAATGACTGAACACATAATTTATCAAATTAAAATATTCAAGTCTGTTTGATTTTTTTGTAAGCAAAGTAACAGTGTTATTTATGCATCTTGATAACAATTTTCAAACATTGCAACTATCACCTTTTTCCACTTTTATAAGAAGACTGCCAATTATCATATGATTCCTATGACAACAAATGTTCAAAGTTTGTAGTTTTAGTTTTCGATTTGGTACTTGACAGTTACCAACTAAAGTTAAATAATGCATATATTTGAAATAGTAATGGTATGATATATATATATATATATATTAAATAACACAAAGGACAACACATGATGGTTTTTTTTGTAATTCTAGAACTATGTTTTAAAAACAGACGTCATACATTTAGTATTAATCGGAAACAACTTTGAATGACGACGATCAATTAAATAACCAGGAACTCTGGTTTACAGCATAGTATGTACATATAGGGAATTAATACATTGCTTGGACATATAGATATAGTACATGAAAGGAATAATGAGAAAGAAGTCACAAGATCAAAAAATATTGTTACAAGCTAGACATATTGTCACCTTTTTTTTCAGAAATACGGACATACTAAACATATACGATGTTTGGATAACTTGGAATATCGTTACGCAATTAGATCATTTCGCTTATTGCAACCTGCATAATTAAGTGCATTATACAAGTTTCAAAGACTATCGTCATGTTATAAATTGCAATATAATTGTAAACTATACTTATCTGTTTGAAACTATTCACTTACCGACTGCAAAAAAAAATAAATAAAATCAAGTAAATGATCATGCATAAAGCATACCATCAAGCAATGAGTTATAGAAGCCACCTTAGGATACGTAGTAAAGTGATAGTAGAACTGACAGCTTTTTGTTGAATGTTATAGTCAGTAATCATGTCAAAATTAAAATTTTGTGTTTGTAATATTTTATAATAACAAACATATAATGTTTTCTGAAGCACTGGTCTTCTAGTGACTGTACATATCGGCAATTGATACATTGATTGGACATATAGATATATAACATGAAAGGAATAATGAGAAAGAAGACACAAGATAAAGAAATATTGTTACAATTTAGACATAAGCACTGGTTGAACTTCAGTCTTCTATTGCCTGATCTGTCTTACTGTCATAACAAATAGCAAATGCAACTCCGTTTGACGGAAAAAACATGTTTGTTCTTATATAAATTAAAAAATATAAAACTTCCATATGTGAGTGATAATTAGTTAACTGTGCGTATCGAAGGTTATAAAACTTTCAAATACTGTCTGTTTACATATACATGTGCAACTGAAAAACATGTTTGTTCTTTTATCAATTAAAAAAAATAAAATTTATCAAAGGTTATAAAACTTTCAAACATTGTCCGTTTACAGATACATGTACAACATTATGAACCTGATCTCTTAAATAAGTTTATATACTGTTTTATGCAAGACTCTGTTACAAATGGCGGTGTATTTGGCAGGTTATTACGTCGTAATGATTTACCTACACAACGTTTAAATCAATTTGGAAGCAGGGTGTTGTTAAATATATTGATAAACAACAATGCAAATTATTGTCTATTTGTTCACGTTTGAATTTAGACTACTTAGCATTTCGTTTAAAATCATACTGATCAAAATATCGCATTGCTTCTCATATATGAATGGGTTTTGTTACTTCTATATAATTGCGTCTTTTTGATTAGAACTGTTTTATATTGTCCAATTTCAATAAAAACACCATACACAACATTCATTATCTATTGTTCTTTCATTTTTTTTATTTTTTGTAAAATAATCGAAATATACTTATCTTTTATGGCACAAAACACTTACATTTAACTGAAAAATAAAAAAAAAAAAAATACAAGTTTAAAATCTGAGGAATAATTTTAGACAATCACGATACAGCAAATACTCATCTCAAAAACACCAGTTTATAAATTTTACTGTGTTCAGCATATTGTTTTGAAAATCGCGATAGCATCAATGTTGTCTGTAGGTGTTTTGTATCTATGGTGTCCAGTAGTAAATTATATAGCTATCATAGTAGAACAAAAAAATGAAATGTATATTATGAAAATACTAGCATATTGATAATGTGATGTTCTTTTGCTGATCGCCTATTGATGAGTAGTTACTGCATAATCAGGAGTATATACATGGTATGTAGCACAACATTCTATTTTTTGAAAAGCAATTAAATGATAGGTATAATCAAAAAGAATAAACAAGACTAAACATATAGTCACAATTTGGACATCGGTTAACTACTGTTGCCTTACTATAAAAAAAAAAGATATACCAAGATGTGACACTAGGAAAAATTTGGATATTTTCACGTAATTAGCATATCCAGTGGCTGCATAAATAATCACATGATTCAAGCTTTATAAACTATTAATCGCCTGTCATAATCAAGTCATATTATTTCATAATGTATTCTCATATTTCAATACTTGACAACAATAATTTGAAAAATACAATTTCTTATTTTCAAAAGGGTTGTTTCAAAGAAAAGCAGATAATAGTGTTTTCCCAACCCATTTTTAAATACTTTTTTCGACTATTTCTCTCTTAAAATGGTATGTTTATTATGTTACTTTACTACACTACGTTCACCATTATATAAATATTGTTATATTATAAATTGAATATATAATTGAACGCCATACTTATCTGTTTGCTACTTGACACTTACTTACTTAAAAAATCAAATAAATATTCATAGAATACAGCATACCATTTAGCAATGAATTATTAGAACGAAAATGGAATTAATTGAATTTGTAGTAAAGTGATAGTAGAACATTTCGATTTGAAAGCTTGGTCTGTCAGATTATTCAATAGTAAAGTCATTAGTCATGCCAAATATTGAAATTTGATATTTGTATGATTTCAAAGTGTCGCTTAATAAATTCAGAAATTATAAAGAAACTTAGGTTTTAACACCCTCAAGCAATGTTGACGTTAAGTTGGTATTATTATTTTCGTGTATGTTCCCTATGGTCATATACTTGAACTATGCTGATTATTATACGTCCTTTGATTTAAACATTTCTGCTTTGAGCGTTTCCCGTTAAGGTAAATTTAGAAAACAGAAAATGAAATCAATTCCGGTTTTTTGTTTTTTTGTATACTGTTGTTTGTTGTTTTGTCTATTGAGGTTCATGCCATGGTGTTGTCAGTTTATGTTCGACTAATTAGTTTGAATGTCTGTTTGGTATTTCTGCCTCTTTTGTAGACGGAACGCGTGTCTATCACACATCATGTTCGTGGTTTGTTTATTGTTTTACTTTACTATTGTACTAACACCATTGTATAAATATCGTTATATTATGAATTGCATACATAATTTTACGCTATGCTTATCTGTTTGCTACTTTACACTTACAAGCTGAAAAATTCAAATAAATATTCATAGAATACAGCATACCATTAAGCAATGAACTAAAGAAACGACAATGAAAAAAATTCAATAAGTAGTAAAGTGAACATGTTAAGATGACAGCTTGTTCTTTCAGAATATAACATTAATATTCTCATTAATCATGCCAAATATTGAAACGTGATATTTGTATGATTTCAAAGTTTTGCTTAATAGATTTAGAAATCATTAAAAAACTTAGTTTTCAACACATACAATTAAAGTTAACCTTAGGTTAATTTAATCAGTTTTGTTTATATAAAAAAAGGAGATGTGGTATGATTGCCAATGAGATAGCTATACACCGAAGTTCAAATGAAGTGAATGTAAGCAATTATAGGAAGCCGTACAGCCTTCAACAATGAGAAAAACCCATACCGTATGGTCGGCTATAAAAGAGCCCGACATGAACAATATGAAACAATTCAATTGAGAGAACTAACTGCTAATTTATAACAAAACAATTTACGAAAAACAAATATAACAGACACGAACCAACGACAACTACTAAACTACATGTTCTCTATGGTCATATACTTTAATTTTTTCGGTTATCATAAACCCTTGGCTTTAAACATTTCTGGTTTGAACGCTTTCCATGAAGGTAAATCATCACCAATTGTTGCTACATATACATCCCAGAAAAACTTCGAGTCTCCAAGAGTTATCATCATTGCTGCTATACCTTTAATTTCCATTTGATTTTCAACTTCGGCAACAACTAGATTGTTAGTGCTGGTTTCCACTTTGAGCTGCCTGTTTTGAAAGGCTTTTCAGTGTGATTTCTCATATTGGATAACAGTTCTTTTAGTCAGGGATTTGTTTGTGCTTTACTACCAAAAACAAAACTCGTGGCTGCATTTGTTACTAACTAAGAAAACTCGAGTTTTTTTTGGTATATTAAGAAAGAAATAGATAAATTCCAGATTCAAAAAAATGTCTTCAATAGGTATTACTTCTAATCTTTACATTACAATTTCCAAACAAATTAACAGCATCATTATTTAAGTAGTACATATTACGCTTTTAAATGCTTGATTTCGAATATATTTTAGTGAATTTTTGGTAATGGTGTAAAAAAAATTCCGTAAAATTGTTTTTTTTATTTACATCTGATGTCTTCGTTAGGGGGGGGAGGGGGGTGGATAATGGTTGGAATATTATTTCGGTACTCCATCTATATTTCAGGGTATATACGACCACCACAATGTTTGATAGGGTTTATTTCAATCAGTTTTTCAGGGGGTCTTTTTTGGTCCTTTGTCTTTTACTTTTGTATAGTCCATTCTTCTCTCAAAATTAACAATTTATCATTTATATGTAGTTTCATATAGTAGCGCTTGGATATAGGGAACATACTGTACATTCAGAAATTACAAAAGGATAAAATTTGCCAACATTATAACTGTCATTTCAACTTCCAATAATAATATTTGTATGCAGAATTCCCTGAAATGCTCATTATTCGACAATCTCAATCAAATATGGCAGCACTAACTGCATTCATTATTTATATGATTTTCTAGATTTTGTGTCTTCCCTATCATTGCTCATTTTATTGATTGTTGCTGCTTGTGATGAAGCTTCTGAGCAAAGTGTTCATATTGTTAAAGATGGATTCATCTCTTTAAAAGTTAACTGACGCCAACTTGATATAGTTATTCGTTATGAAATAGCTGTATCACAGATAACTACGCGTATGCTCCTATGTTTTAACCACAATCTCGTGTTCTTTTCCATTAGCCACCAAATGCAACGTATCATCAAATTCTAACATCCCGTGCAACACGATCAATTTATATTTTCACGGAAGCAAATCATGTTTGTCCGACTCATGTATGTAATATCTACCCTTTTACGCTCAATCTAAGTGTCAAAGCCAGAAAAAGTTTGAAAACCATTGGAACTTATATACTGGAGTTTAACTATTTGTTAAGCTTTTTACACTATCTATTTCTTTGATGAGTTTTTGCTCTACTCCTTGCTAAGCAAAATATGTTCCGGTTGGTTTATAAATAAGAACGACTGCAATCGACACTACATGACATTTACGTTCATATTCACAGATATATTTTTTGTGTTTAAACTTTTATTTCAGATTCAAACTATCAATACCTTATGTAATTTTATTCCTTAAATCCGTAAGAAGTGAATGCCTACAGAATGTAACAATCAGACAGAATCAGAAAAATGTATCTTTATCAAATGATTTATAACATGTAGCTAGTGAATTGAGACACAAACATATATCGGTCAACCAATTCGTAAAAATTATCAATTGGCGATATCAGTAGTTCTTTCTCTTAACACTTTGGAGCAGGTTTTCATTAATACGCATACCCGTGTTAATGAATTATGTATATTGTTAACAGGCACGAGCGTCAAGTGTAAACTAAGATATGTATCCGAAATCGTTAGATATAAAAGTACGACCGATCCATGTGTTTGCACGATTATTTAACAATTTTCTCTATCGTATTTAAAACAAGAGAAACACCGTGTCTGGATCTGCGTCACAGCATACAGTAGACCCCTTTCGAGTTATGGTCTTCGCCGAAAAAGTTTGTCAAATATGCGCGCCTTTATGACGTAATTTTTCAGATAGAGGGGACCGCCTGTATCCCTGCACTATCAAAGTTCATCAAGCATCTTCGTGATCATCATTATGCAGGCTAATCTAAATATTATGTTTGTTCCGTAGGTACTTAATCACAATTCCATAATGACAACTGCGCTGATTATCAATTATAAGAATTTAATTTGCCGAATGATTCGAGCAACATAAAATCATATTTTCTAACCGCTCGCTCAACATTGGAAGGAAGTGACGATGCCCCTAAACGCACGAATGATGTTTACTAAAACCAAAGATTTGGACAAAAATGCAACGAAATGGAAACTAGTCTATTGATTGAGGGACATGTACACTAAAACATAACTTATCACTTCCATTCAATCAAGCCAAGAAAACTTTGACGAAAAGTGTCCTTGTAATATTTTGAACTATCGGCAAACAGAAAGAGGCTGTACAGCAGATGTAACAATTGTTTTACACGCTACAATTCAACATTATCAAGCTGCACACCAAATATAATATAATTCTCTTTCAACGAAGCCGCGAAAACTTCGACGAAGTTTTCTATCAAAGGTCTGTCGGACGTACGAAAGGAATTACGAAAGAACGGAATGACGGACGCAGTCAAGTGTTTACTGGACTTGTTCTCGATGTTGGCAAAACAGGTACAAAAACATTCTAGTCAAACTAGTTGCAAGGTTTATGTCATTAAAAAGAAAGAAAACGTATTGAAATATAATCATAAAATTCTATAAAGCAAGAAAATTAACATTCACAAAAATCATACATATTACTAAAATACTAAATAGAAATATAATACAATCTACGTGGTTACTATTTTAATGGCAGACACAACGGATTAATCAAATATATGTCTGATGATTGAATTCACATTCAGAAATACAGTGTAGGATATATACATATTGTGGTTAACTTGAACAATAACTTGAAGTACTAGAAAAATGTACAATTTTAATTTGTTTCGAATCAATTGCTTAAATACTTAAACGACACGTTATAATGCTTTTTAATACGTAAGGTTCTACACTAAAATTAAATGTAGGATACATAGAAAAGTAAAAAAAAATCGAATGGTTTAGGTTCTTTTTCTAACAACGGACACTAAAATGTCAATAATTCATTGTTGTTTTGTAACACTTGATTTTTATGAAGTGTAGCTAATTATTTCGAAATTGATATAATACTAAG